CTACGGTACTTCATCTTTTGGTCGCATCTGAACGACGTGTGATATGAATAAAATGTAATAATAATAGCCGTAGTAGGTAATGAAGATAAGAAGGATAGATGACGATTGAACTTGGGATGACAAACTGTACAAAATGTCGGATATGCTGGAATACACCACCTGTGTCCAATGGAAAGGTTCCATCCCAAAGTGGCTACCAACCTGGTAGATATAAACGGGTACAAATATAAAATCTCTGGGGATTTAAGTTCATCTGTTAAATAATACTTTAGGAGATTAATAGTTTTTAGAGAATTGTATTTCCGCTCTGACTTCCTCATTTTGAACTTTGAGGTCAGATATGGGTAAACAAAGGAAGTCAATTGCGATTGGCTAAAACTAGCGTGGAAATGTTGGACAAAGAAAGCACTTTCAAAGAGTCTAGTCTTACACGCCGAGAAATGCAGACATGTTAAAATCGTTTCTAGAAACTGCTCCTCACTGTGGGGGATAACAACCCTATGGTCTAGTCAGAAATCTACACATCGACGTGTTGATTAAAATAGTTAAGTTTAAAATCCTTTTTGTTGACGTCTTCTAACTCTGTAACCCCAAAACATTTCACTATGAAAATAATTTCGCCAAGAGAAGAAAGAGGAGACAGAGAAGATCCAACAATGTGAGTGAATCAATCCTGTCAACCAAGAGAACCCCAGAAGAGGGGGCTATGTAACACAACTAATACACACTAGTTTAAACACGGCCTACATCTACGTATCAAATCGATTATAACCATGGTCGATGTGAATAGAAATTTAAGAATAAGCATAGTAGATGATGGACAATCGACCATTCACCGTCTAGCTTCCCTCTCACGGACGGGATGTGGCGAGAGTCTTACTGCTTTATCGCTGCTTCCAAGAAAAGTGCTCAGGCAAACTAACCTTCACGATTAGGACCTGCCATACCGCTCGCAGTGCAACAAACCACCCACATGCTCTTCATATTCCATCGGTGAGAAGTAAGTTCTACTCGAACAGCTTCTTCTCGCGAACCATTGCACTGTGAAACCGACTTCCAAGAGGATGTCGCCTCGATCACTACAATCTTAAACTCTTCATTATCTCCCCCCTATCCGTATAAACTGTCCTTGAACGTAACCCTCTATCTTGAGTGTCTCCGGGCCTTGCACAGGGTGAATTTTATATATATATATATATATATATATATATATACTAGCAGTAGAGCCAGGGGATGTAACAGTAATTCAACATGAAAAAGACGATGGACATAAGAGCAAGGCCAATCCAAACAGATAGCTGAAATATTTTATAAGATCAGCGTTCCGTTTAAATATGTTAATTATGTTTTATGAATATGTCCTGAAGATGGTCTATTTGACCGAAACATCCGACGTTGACATTATATTAACATTAAACCAGCATAATTGCATATTAGGATTTTTGTTTGTTTTTTCCGTATATTTTCTTCATATATATATATATATATATATATATATATATATATATATATATATATATATAGCTTCCATTTTTGAAACATGGTTAGAACTGTGTAGCGAAAAACATATTTTAAATCAATTAATTTATAATATATATATATATATATATATATATATATATATATATATATATACTAGCAGTAGAGCCCGGGGATGTAACAGTAATTCAACATGGAAAAGACGATGGACATAAGAGCAAGGCCAATCCAAACAGATAGCTGAAATATTTTATAAGATCAGCGTTCCGTTTAAATATGTTAATTATGTTTTATGAATATGTCCTGAAGATGGTCTATTCGACCGAAACATCCGACGTTGACATTATATTAACATTAAACCGGCATAATTGCATATTAGGATTTTTGTTTGTTTTTTCCGTATATTTTTCTTCATATATATATATATATATATATATATATATATATATATATATAGCTTCCATTTTTGAAACATGGTTAGAACTGTGTAGCGAAAAAAACATATTTTAAATCAATTAATTTATAATATATATATATATATATATATATATATATACTAGCAATAGAGTCCGGCGTTGCGTGGGGATGTAACAGTAAGAGATAGATCAAGTATCGACCATCATAAAGACTGAACAATAAAATTGACAAAGATTATTGTTTAAGGTTGACGGACACGCATGTCTTAATTAATTTTTTTTGTTGTTTTTTTTTTTACGAATTGGTCAAACCCAAACTCAAACAAAAACATTGTTTTCAATCGTTATGAGTCTACTAATTGCATAGAATTTTATTATAAACAATTGTCTTGTAAATGGAATTTTTAAAGCATTCTGAATGTAAAAATAAAGAAAAAAGTGTGCAAGACAATAAGAAACACTACCTGCCACCCCCAAAGTGAAGTTTTGTTGAAATCGGTTGAAAGATGTAGGAAACCCGATCCCATATATAAACGAAACACACACACACACACACACACACACACACACACACACACACACACACACACACACAAACAAACAAACAAACTGGGTTTTATAATAAGTATAACTCGATATGAGTTGTCCCCCCCATTCATTCCGTGAAAGTGATGCCTCTTAATCGTGTTTTCAAATTGATTTCGTGTAAAAACAATTGTGTTTTTCCAATTTTTGGCGCTATCAGAACCACCGCAAGGTAATTTTACATAGTCCTGTGAAGTTTTGTTGAAATCGGTTGAAAAATGTAGGACATCCGATCCAATATATAAACGTACAGACACACACACACACGCACGCACACACACACACACAACCTTGGTTTTATAATAATATATATATATATATATATATATATATATATATATATATATATATATATATATATATATATATATATATGAAATAAAAGCGGTCTATATCAGGCTAAAGCTTTAAGTATAAATGTGACCTATACGTACCTATGGCCTCAAGTATAAAGAAGACCTAAGTTTATATATAGAGTCAAGTGCAAGCACGACCTATCGGAGGAATGATAAATACGGCCTATGGACTCAAGTATAAATACAACCTATGGACACCTATGTACACACTTGTGAAAATTAATTGAAACAACCGCTTTAGTTTCCTTTCTTTCACCATACTGTCAGTTTTAAACACACTGGAGTGACAGGGTGTAATCGACTTTTTTTTTTTTTCCGCCCATTAGGTCATTGCAGTATTATGAATTTATTTTGGGGGTGTATGATGAAATTTGTTTGGCCTTTTAAAATATTGCGTCATCCGTGATTGCATCAGATTTTTATCACGCCTAGACACTGCTGTCTCGACTGTCGATTAGTTGTCCTACGGCCATTGTATGCGATGGACTTTACTCTAAGGAAGTGTAAGAAAATTTGTAACGCTGCAAGCCTTACTAGTGAGCAAATATAAGTACAATAGTTTGGCCCGGAAACTCTCCTTATTTAAATCCAATCGAGAATCTGTGGTCAATCTGTAAGGAACGACCTCATGGAATGGACATACCATAAATACATTTAAAAAAAAAAAAATATTACCAAAATACATTTTTGGAAAAAAAATATTACCAGCAATACATTTCTTGAAAAAAAAAAAATTACCAGCAATAAAAATGTTGCCGGTATTAAATAACCCATTGAGGTTGATATACCGTAAAACAAAACAAATAAAACCAAACCTCATGTTATTTTTATTTTTATTTTTTACAAAAATGTTCAGTCGAAAATAACATGATTCAATTTCTGACCTTATTTTTGTAGCTGGACCCCGGATGTAAATACACAAAAATAAAAGGAAACAATAAAACCATCATCACTATCACCACCATTACCACCACCACCACTACTACTACTACTACTACTACTAATAATAATAATAATAACGATACCGAAATTAAAAGATGACTGCATAAAATTTCCTTTAAAATGTTACTTCCTTTTGCCTAATCTAATTTACTGTCTAATAGTAATCTTAGGTCTAGCAATTTTAATCTTAGGTCTAGCAATTTTAATCTTAGGTCTAGCAATTTTAAATTTGAGTTAAGCCCTTCTTTTAGAAATTAGACGCCATGGACAATCGGGTTAAATAGATTCAGCATCCTGGTTTAGTAGGGGTTAATAAAACTAAAGAATGTATAAAACATACTAATTACTAAATCCGGAAGGTAATCTAAAGATTAGATAGATAAATATATAGATAGATATAAAAAGACTGATAGATAGATCGATAGATTGTGAACAGAAATAGAGAGAGAGAAAAAGAGAAATGAACAAAGTGAGATAGATAAATAGTATATATATATATATATATATATATATATATATATATATATATATATATAGAGAGAGAGAGAGAGAGAGAGAGAGAGAGAGCTTCGAGTGATGTAGATAGGAAACGAGTAGATAGATAGGCAGCCAGACATAGATACAGACATAATATAGATAGATAGATAGATAGATAGATAGATAGATAGATAGATAGATAGATAGATATGAAATGACTGGGAAAGAAAGAAAGAAAGAAAGAAAGAAAGAAAGAAAGAAAGAAAGAAAGAAAGCAGAAAAAGAAAAAGAAGTAGACGGAGTACATAAAGAGACAAAGTGAATAGATAGATAGATAGATAGATAGATAGATAGATAGATATGAAATGGCTGGGAAAGAAAGAAAGAAAGAAAGAAAGAAAGAAAGAAAGACAAAGAATGAGAAATACACTGGTTTGATAAAGAGACAAAAATAAAGTGAATAGATAGATAGATAGATAGATAGATAGATAGATAGATAGACAGACATACAGATAGATAGAATAACCGAAAAGTACAAACTGAATCAGTAGCATCGATGCAGGTCAATTTTGTCATCCTTCTGGATACTTGCTGTCACTTGTTCTACAATGACATCTATCGGATGCTGCTGTTGAGTGGATTCACCGAATGCAAAATATCTTTCATCCTCACCGTTGTTTCCCTTCCGTTTCAATTTGTAGATTCTGATCGGATATCATGATGTCTTGTCATTTTTCTTTCTTTCTTCCTTCAAAAGATCCAATATCGGTCTCCATTTCACAGTCGACGTTAGCTCAATTTTTTTGGCCTTCGTTGCACTCAGCTATCAAGTTACGCTTTAAGAACTATTAACCTCACTAATTTGATTTTTGACTATTATCTTCCATATATATATATATATATATATATATATATATATATATATATATATATATATATATCATATCATATTTTTAAATTCTTTATTCCTATTCCCAAAGATCTGGTTCTCAGGTTTGGTACCGCTTCCTCGATACAATCTGATTTTTAACTGTCGTTATGTAGCAACATCTTATTGAGTTGATTTTGATATAGCTTATTTACAATAGGAAAAGCATTCGCATATAAATTGTATTTCTGCTACATACGAATGCAGGTTTAATTCGATTTCTTGACATTTTCGCTTTACACGTTTTTTTTTTTGAAACATAAGCGTCTTTGTAGATTATACTAGAATGTTGAATATTAAAAGATATAAATCTTTATTCGCATAGCAAAATGTATATATAAATATATATTCCAGAGTTTTTTTTTAATTCTTCTTATTACAGTTCTGCCCGTATCGTCAAGGAATTAGGGCAATATTGAAGTAATTTTGTAAGGTATTGTTATATTTTCCTATAAATATCCTAGGAATTTAATCTAGAGACTACCACCATTGTTGCAGTATAACTGCTATCAGCGAGTATAACCATAATCTTCTTTTACGTGCCGTTTCCATTCAGGACCTAGGCAATCATGGCTCTCTACATCTTACTGTCTCATGTAGCTTTTTATATATATATATATATATATATATATATATATATATATATATATATATATATATTATTGTTATTTCTCTCAAACTTTGCTTTGCCACTAATTCTCTTAAACTATCAAGCGTGTTACGCGCTTTTTAACTCTCTCCCTTTTTCCTTCAATCTGTCCTGTGTGTATCAGATTTTCCAAGCCCACCTTCCTCATTACGTGTCCTGGGTCTTATGTAAATTTTTTTTTGGTTCCATTTTCTCCACTTTGTTGTTCGGTTTCGCTGTTTATCTTCAACATCTTTCTGTAGTAATTCCGTTGCTTCAAGTCTCTTCTTGTTCGTATATACTGTAAAATGTTAGCAAATGAATTTATTATATGTAGCTTCAACATTTTTGTAAAATACACTAAAAATCAAGAAGAATATGTTAATGCTTACGATTGACTACACGCTGCACTGGTAGAATCTTCTTCTGTGTGTCTTGTCATTTCAGAAGGGTTCTCTCAATTTCCTTTACTTTGTAAGACTTAATAACGTTTTACCATCACTCTAACGTCGCGTTTTGCCATTACGTCACATAAAGACGTCATTGCCTCCAGTCCAGATTACCACCTTCTTCGAGACGCTTCTTGCGTTGACCGATGTTCAACAATTCGTATGAGGATTAAAACGTCTGAAAGGCGTGTTTTTTTAACCTCTAAACTAGCCAAATAGTCTAAGCGTAGAATTGAGCTTCTGGTACAATGCTTGCAACAGACGATAGAATAAGATGAAATATATTTTGATGAACAACCGTTTTGTGTAATTTGTTAGAACGATTAATTAAAGCCTGAAATGCCCCCCCTAAAAAATTGTTTATGTGTAGTATACGAGGGTCATTCAATAAATAAGGTGAATTTTTCGGTATAAGGACTTCTAATACAGATAGAAGCTTACTTTTTTTTTATTTTTCAACGTAGTCTCCCAGCACTGTCACACACTCTTCCCATCTGTGCACAAGCTTCCGTATTCCCTCAGCGTAAAAATCTTTGGACTGATGTCTCAGCCAGTCGCTCACAACACTTTTGACTTCATCATCACTTTTAAACTTGTGGCTCTCGTGAACGCTTTCAAGGGACCAAACAGGTAAATGTCTGAAAGGGCAAGGTCTGGGTTGTAAGGGGGATGAGGGAGCAGTTCCCAGCCCAGCTCGTTGATGGTCTGCACCGTTTGGGCTGCTGTGTGAGGCCTTGCGTTGTCATAATGCAAGATGAATCCTTCTGACTGATGACCCCTGCGTTTGTTCTTTATGTCTTTCTTGACCTGTCTCAGCAGTTCACAGTAGTTCTTCTGTCAGACTGAATGAGGTCATTGACTGATTCGATCACCTCAGAAGACCTCACTTCTGTAGGCCTCCCAGGCCTGTCTTCATCCTCAACACTGCTCCATCCTTCTTTAAACAATTTAGCCCACTTCTAGACATTTTTTTGGCTGAAACATGTGGCACCATACACAGTTGACATTCTCCTATGAATTTCAACTGGTTTGCACCCTTCAGCAACCAAAAACTTGATAATTGACCGCTGTTCAATCCTGGAGCATGCTAATTTGGTCGGCCATCTTTGTTAATCACCAAAACTCTCAAAGTTTTTTTTTAATCGGCAAAAGAAATTAAATCCATGTGAAAAAGAAGTAAAAAAAATAAAGTAAGCTTCTATCTGTATTAGAAGTCCTTATACCGAAAAAAACACCTTATTTATTGAATGACCCTTATACAAACAGTGGGTCATTTATTTAGTTAACATCCATTGAACTCCTTTCTCATCGAAACCAACACATATCCGAGATACGTGCTTAGTTTAGTGCCAGAGGCGATGAACAATTTTTTTTAAAATTAGAAATTGTGATTTATTTCCCTTTTTCGAATTTGCATTCTGCGAATTCTATGAACATTTTAATTCACGCATAAATTTCAGATTTTCAAATATAGCATCCAATAATTTATGAATGCTAAGGTGTAAACCTTAACAAAAATGCTAACAGGAAAATCCATTAATATTTACGGTATAGATATATTCCGTGCTGGGATGTCTAATAAACTTTATATCAATGCAAGCAGAGAATACAATTAGAAATGTTTTATGTTGCAATTGTTTAAGATTTTCCTAAACTGCCATTTAAGCTTTTGGTGATAAATAACAATTTTTTCCCATTCTTTTGTTTCTATATTAATTATTCTCAAAGAATTGAGACAAAAAAAAGTGTCTAAGTTTATAATTTAATGCATAAAATAACGCTCGTGACAACGGTGTTTTCGCTTTATTTCGGATTATTTTTCTATTTTCAAACATTGGTTTTGTCGCCTTTCTTTCATCTGAGTGATTATAGCACGCAAACATTGTTTTTGTTGCCAGAAGAAAAAAAAAACGAACATTTTTATCTCACCAACATGAAAATAATGGACTTCATTATTCTATAAAGTACGCCATCAAAATGAAACGTGATATTTTGCAAATAACTTGGTTATACGATGTATATTATAATCGTAAAACGTGGACACCTTGATATGGTGCACCGTTTACCAAGTTTTTCTCGATAGATTAATTAAAACTGAGTAGTGATTTTGAACCTCACTTTGTGCTCTCTACATTCGGCATTGTGCCACATGTAAGCTATGCTTAGTAAATCATTATAATCGTAAAACGTGGACATCTTGATTTGGTGCACCGGTTAGCGAGTTAGTCTCGCTAGATAAGTTAAAACTGAGTAAAGATTTTGAACCTCACTTTGTGCTCTCTACATTCGGCATAGTGCGACATGTAAGCTATGTGTAGTAAATCATTATAATCGTAAAACGTGGACACCTTTATTTGGTGCACCGGTTAGCGAGTTTGTCTCGCTAGATCAGTTAAAACTGAGTAGAGATTTTGAACCTCACTTTGTGCTCTCTACATTCGGCATAGTGCCACACGTAAGCTATGCTTAGTAAATAATTATAATCGTAAAACGTGGACACCTTGATATGGTGCAGCGGTTAGCAAGTTTTTCTCGATAGATGAATTAAAACTGAGTAGTGATTTTGAACCTCACTTTGTGCTCTCTACATTCGGCATAGTGCCACATGTAAACTATGCTTAGTAAATCATTATAATCGTAAAACGTGGACATCTTGATTTGGTGCACCGGTTAGCGAGTTAGTCTCGCTGGATCAGTTAAAACTGAGTAAAGATTTTGAACCTCACTGTGTGCTCTCTACATTCGGCATAGTGCCACACGTAAGCTATGCTTTGTAAATAATTATAATCGTAAAACGTGGACACCTTGATATGGTGCAGCGGTTAGCAAGTTTTTCTCGATAGATTAATTAAAACTGAGTAGTGATTTTGAACCTCACTTTGTGCTCTCTACATTCGGCATAGTGCCACATGTAAGCTATGCTTAGTAAATCATTATAATCGTAAAACGTGGACACCTTTATTTGGTGCACCGGTTAGCGAGTTTGTCTCGCTAGATCAGTTAAAACTGAGTAGAGATTTTGAACCTCGCTTTGTGCTCTCTACATTCGGCATAGTGCGACATGTAAGCTATGCGTAGTAAATCGTTATAATCGTAAAACGTTAGAAATTTTAATGAGTGCAATTCCGAGGATTGAACTTCTGGGGAAGAGGGTTGGCATTATTTTTAATCATTTCACCCTCAAGCCAGGCGAGCGTGCCACTAGCATGCAAGGGGATACAGGGAGTGCGAGCAAGAGTAAAGAGAGGTGTATGAGGAAAGGATATAGAGGAGGACGAGATCAGGATCAATGCCTCAGAAGATGTCGATTGACATTACATTTGAATATTTGAAGATTATAACTATCAGGGAAGCAAATAAAAATAAAGGAGTTCCACTGTCGGGAAGTGCGAAAGAAGAAGCCGTTGGAATAGAAGAGGCGGTTACATTTAACTGTTTCGACCGTGAAAGTTTGGGCTCAAGATGCCAGCCTTGGGGCACGCTTAAATTCATGCATTTTGGGTTCCAGTGAATGTATCTGGTCGGATCTGTTGCCAGAGCATCTGTAAGAAAGTGACTATAGACAGAATGCTAGATCAGGAGCTAGCACGTTGCATAAGGACCTTAAGATGAACAGCGGGGGCACTGGACCATATATGGCAACAATATTCAAGGCAAGGACGAATTGTACATTTGTAGATTTGAGGGATGGACCCAGACGAGAAAAAAACCTTCTGGTGCGACAAAGAGAATCAACTTTCCTTGCAGTAGATGAGGCTATTGATTCAATGTAATTGTTCTACCTGAGGTCAGTGTAAAACGTGAGACCAAGAAGGCAGAGAGAAACGCTCCATCCATGCTGGTAGGAGGGAAGGAGTATTCTCTACGGTTAGTAAATGAGAGCAGTTTCCTTTTAGATGCGTTAAAGTGTACAAGCCATTTTCTTGCCCTAGTCAACCAGAGATTGGAGGGCATTTTCGAGACATTTTGTCAGCGATACCGAATTTACAACTGAGACAGGAGTAAATAATAGTGTCGTCTGCGTAGATGCTTACATTATATTTGTTGTTGTCCGTATTTTTGGTGTTTCCTAATAAGCGGATGTTCGGAGTTTTATGGAGAGCAGTTCGGAATTAGTAATCAGAGAGCCGAGTTAGAATTCTACTTGGAATCGCTGCATTCGTTTATGTGGAAAAACTTTAGATCTGTCAGCCAGCTGTTGTATTCTGTTACACTTTCATGTCTTTTATCCTATCAATTGGTGTGTTTACTTACATTTATATAATACCCAGCCTGTTGACTTTTCGGCCGACCCTCGTATATATTAAGCTAGTTTTTTTAAGAGCCTTATCTAAGTTATGCAAGCCTAAAGTAGAGTGAAAGAGGGGCAGCAAGATATTTAGAATTATCGGTGACGTGTCTTATTATTTACCTTGTCTGGTACAAGGTTACATATGTTGGGATCCCACTGTGATTCAGATTTATTACTATAGTAACGGTCTACATGAATATCATGATCTTTAAAGTCTAAAACAAATCGGAACATATGAATAAGTGTGGGGAGCGTACATAGGATTAATCCGTCATACAATATTCAGAATTTTTTAAAGCATTTCACCCAAAGCAAAGCCAGAGTGCCACTAGTACGCAAGGGGTTACAGAGAGTGAGAGCAAGGGTAAAGAACGATGTTTGATTCAATATATAGGCACGGTGGAGTAATGGATATCGGCTTGGATTGAGGAATCGTAGAGTCGAATTCCAGTCGAATCCATTTTATTCACTTACGTGCTTACCCTTGGGAAAGGTATGAATCCTCTACTTCTCAATCCAACTATGGGTAAATAGCAGGACTGACTGGGTTCTATAGCCTTGGATGGCAACTGGTCTCGGAGAAGGACAACTCTGAATTCAAAACCTGTGGTGGGTCGTTTGGGGACCTTGTGGCACTTGGTGCACCAGGTCTCTGTATTCGTCCCTTCAAAAAGTGTGGTTGGTCCTGCACGAAACCTTCACCACTATAATCAAATCTCATGTGCTGTTGTCGGGCTGTCGGTTTCCTAGGAACTGATCTGCTTGACCCTCATACGTCGAATTTCGACGGGAGAGTAGTAAGTAAATATATATATATATATATATATATATATATATATATATATATATAGAGAGAGAGAGAGAGAGAGAGAAGGACGGGAATCAGGATCAAGACATCAGAAGATCTCGATTGACATTATATTTGAAGATTATATCTATCAGGGAAGCAAGTAAGAGGAATGGAGTTACACTGTCTGGAAGTGCGAGATAAGAAGAAGCTGTTGGAGTAGAAGAGATGGTTACATTTAGTCGTTTGGATAATAAAAGGGCGGAACCGAGATGCCAACCGTGTAGCACGCATAAATAAGTTTTGGAACCAGTGAAAGTAGCTCGTCGGAGCAGTTGCCATGAACATACTTGTAGAAAAGACAGAGGGAAGCCACAGCACGTCTATGAGAAAATGACTGTAGACGGGATGCCAGATCAGGACCAATAAAGTTGCATATCATTCTCTGGATTTTGTCGAGGACCTCAGGATTAACAGCGGGGACACCAGACCAGATATGGCAGCAGTATTCCATGCAAAGACGAATGGTAGATTTGTAGATTTGAAGGCTGGACTCAGGGGAGAAAACCCTCTTAGCGCGGCACAGAGAACTAACTTTCCTTGCAGTAGATGAGGCTGTAGATTCAATGTAGTTATGAATCGGTTAGGAGAAATCTAGTATCGGAGGTAGTGAAATTAAATAGCGAATGGGTTGCACCAGGGATAATATTGTCCAACACGATGATAAGCAAGCTCAGATCTAAAAAAATAATTATTACTGCCTCATATCGGCTGGGGCTGTGCAGCTCTCAATACTCTGTCTTGATAGACTTCAAAATCGTCTACGCAGTCTTGGAGATGATGAATCCTTTTCTACCCTGCCACCTCCCTCCCACAGACGAAACATCACGAGACTCCCGCTGCTCCATCTCAGCATCGATCCTGGCAACACTCTAGATGGGTGACAGCTTGGAAATATCAGATGCTGCAAATATGAGTTTGCAGGGTTGGGTAAGAGATAATGGCTTGAATTTGAAAATAGGAGAGCAGAGAGTTCCAATTTCGTTTGGGTTCTTCACGCGCAAATACCCTGTGTAAATATATGAATCCACTTCTTCTCCCCCAGCTATGGGTTAATTAGTAAATCATTATCTCCCCTAAAAATTCATAGAATCTAAAACTATTTCTGGTTTAAAAAAATGATCTTCTTTAAAGACACATCAATTAATAATTATACATGTGTGAGTTGAATTAATTTATTTTGGAATGGTAAAAAAATTACCGAATTCTATAAGGGTATTTTTCAGCGCGCACGCGTCTCTACCGAATTTGATACAAGGTCGAGTTTTAAAGTGGGTTTAATGGCAATGCTTTGGTAAAATTACCCAAGCCCCCTCGGCATTTTCACTTTTGAGGATGTCTCAACCGCAGGGTAAAAAATCCAGTTTTCTCCAGAAGTGGAGGTACTGCCTTGGGGAAAGGAACCCCTGGGTCTTGGTCATTTTTTTTGTAATTTCCTCCGAATAGGTTTTCACCTGCACAAGCTGAAGTTGGATCCACATGAATATCAATATGAATATTAACATTAACGCAGTGTTTTCCAAACTTTTCTTAACCAGTGTACTCTTTGGACCCAAACCTTTTTGTCAACGCCTCTCTGTCAAATTAAATTTTGAATGTTATAATGAATTTATCTTTCATAGAATGATAACGCTTAGGTATTAGTGGAAAAATAAGTTTAATATTGTTTTCATTTATATAAATGCCGATGATTTAAATGCTAAAATAAATATTTATTTGACAGCTTATCTCAATGTTTACAATGCGCTGGTTGACTTTAGTGCTTACTGGTTAAGGTTCTTGCACTAAGTTCCATGCTGCTTAGAATGAATCATAGATTTCCTTGTTTTGTAATTTTCAGGCAGTTACTTTGTTTAGTAAGAATCTGTGTAACTCTGTTGAAACCACATTCAGCCATATAGGGAATTGGAAAAACAATGAAAAAAAAGCTTGATTGCTTCCCTCAACTTTAGATACCTTTCAGAAATTTCCTTTTGTAGCCAATAATGAATAAATTAAAAAAAAAAATTGAAAAAAGAAATGTATAAATGCCGTCCGCCCCACAAATGGATTAAAGAATCCCAGTTTCCCCTTTTAAAATAACGGAGCCCGCAAGAGTGCGATAGCGCCCACGTTGGGAAATACTGCCCTAACTTTACTATTATTACAGTGAAAGAAAAGCGTAAATATTAGGTTCTTTGACTGGTATAGTCATCTTTTAAGCCAGGCAGAAGCTCAAGACGTTTAGGTCAAGCTATGATATTTTTCAGGCGATGTGATTTCAACCAAAGATAACAGCGTAATTTTATTGCCATTTTTGAAAATACTCGCCAGCAGACTGGAAGAAAACGCGGGATATGAAGATTAGGATCTGGAGAGTGGGAAGCTGGCTTGGATAACCAAGAACAAACAGCGGAAGAGAAACCATTTGGGAAGTGAGGATGGGTTATTGTCGGTGCAAAGGGAGGTCAAGATATCTTTTGGGAAAAGGTCCTTTTCGGGTTGGATTTTGTGTTTCTAATCCATCACTCCGTTGACGCGACTTGACAATGTCGCCTTGGGATGCCATGCCAAGTTCAACACGGAATACGTCATAAGAGCAGCAAGGAATATCAACGAAATGGCGCCTGTTTGTTCCTAACTTGACGTGGCATGTGTTCTGCAAGTGGCCTCCATTCCCGCCAATTCTTTTAAGGCACTGCTGTATAGAGTCGACTCCTCGAGTCACCTCTTTTTGCCCCGACCGGCAACGGTCTTAAGTGATTCCACCCTTAGAGAAAATACCCTCGGGGTAAATAAATTTCTTATGATATCAATTCATGTGCAAGATTCTTGCTCGAGATTGACAGGGCAACAACGGGAATGGTGAAAGAAATAGAAAGAAAGTAAAAGAGTAGCGGGAGGATGAAAAGAAGGAAAATAACGAAGAAGATATGAAGGAACCGGAAGTTAATTATTTCTGGAAAAGAGGAAGGCAGTCAGGAATGAATTGATGAAAATGAAATCGAAAGAAAAAGAAAAAAAATGTGTGGACAAGGAAATAACGCCTGAAAACTGAAGAAAGAATGAAAATCAAGGATTGAAAAAATCAGGGAACAGATTTTCTAGAAATGAAAAAGAAAAAATTGGAAGGCAATAGAAAGAAGAAATAAAGCAAGAATAATCAATAAACCGTAGAAAATAATGTGTGAAAAACGAAAGAAAGAAGGAAGGAAATAAAAAATGAAAGAAAGAAAAGGGGAAAGAAAGAAAGAAAGAAAGAAAGAAAGAAAGAAAAGGAGAAAGAAAGAAAGAGTACATTAATAAAGAAAAAGAAAAGAGATCGTGTAAGAAAGCATACAAAATTTTCCTAATCAACCTAGTCCTTGGTATACCAATAAACCCCATCCAGCAGCAAGATTTCTGATGGAAATATTATAGCTTTTGAGGTGTGTGGAGCCCCCTCGTAATTGCTATTTTTTCCAGATCACCCTGATCGAAAGCAGAAGCACATTTTCGGGGTCCCAACTATGGGTAAAATTGTGTTTTGGCTTTTGTTTGTTTGTTCATCAAGAAAGTATAAAATCACATTATGGTAAAATTTTATTTATAAAAAAAACAATGACTAGTTGTAATATATTCTAACAGTAAAATAACAATCAATAAAGCACTAAAGTATAAACATACATTTTCATAGTAAAATTACAATCAATACATTTTATCACCTCTTAACTATATATATAAAAACGACAATAACAAAAAAAACCCCAAAAAACATACATATGCCAAGAAAGTATAAAATTATATCCGAAAAAGCTGCAACGAATCACTTTTTGGGGGTTAGCATCAGTCATGCTGACGAGAAGTAGGATGGAGTTTTTCAGGTAATTGCAAGGAGTTGGGTGCGTTCCAATTTGTATATCACCATCATCATCTGATCGAGCAAGCTAGATATTCCATGTCATGCTGATTCCATCCATTCCTGTCGTTCATTGCATTTCGAAGCTCGTCCAGTCTGCATCGCGTGTCTTCAATCAGATGGTCAATGTACATCTTCTTTGGTCAACATTGTGTTTTTTCTTTGGGATGCTATCCAGAGTAGAACGTCTTCAGCTAGTTCTTCTTTGCTGCGCCAACAGTGAACAGCAAATCTTAGTCTTTGTCGGCGTATTAATTTGCTGATGGGATATATGTTGCCATAGAGCTCTTTCTTTGTTGGGTGAACTTTCCAGGAATTCTTTAGTGTGTAAGTACCATTCAACTTCTTTTCGAGATGGCTGTTATTGTTCAGGTTAAGGAGCCATATACAAAACAACAAAAACATGCAATATTGACGCATTTTTTTGGTGCCGTTTCACTCCGCTTGATCGGTACACTTGACATTACCGTGAACAATTTCAAACTTTCAGCTTTCTTAAAAAAATATCAAGATTTCGCCAACGAAATATTATCAGACAGATTTAATAGCGTATACCACTCTACGGCATATTGTTATAATTAGATTCGGGTGTTAAAACTAGAATAAAAATTCACGTGTCTGGCTGACCAAATCTGACTGAATGTTAATCTATTGAACTAGCTAATTATTTCCAATTGGTTCATCATGGTGCCTCGATAGCTATGGGTATTATTTAAGGAAAACGATCACTTTTCTAAGAGAGAGTAGATATTCAGCAATAATCATGACATTCTCATGATGAGCTTAAGATGAAGTAAAGATGAATTCATGTTGCTCGGGATGTCATTATTTCGAAAGTAATTGCACAAGACTTCACCACAAATTCGAACTTCGACATCGTCTAATTAACGAACGGATTAAGTTTCAATCCACTTCCTTCGTTTGTATTTTAAAATCTAATTTTATGCTCATTCACATTTGCACATAATTCAGTTGGTGAAAAGTTCAGTCAATCCAATATTAATTTTAGGCAGAGTCAATAGTGTGAACTGCGCCAATTGTAATGCGTCCATTTTATACGACCTTGTGTGTATGGCTTAGATTACGCGAACAGACTTGGGCACTTCAGTTTGAGGTAATGGTTAGCAACTTTGTCTCGCTAGATCAATTATGAATGACCATTCTCCCTGGGTGCCCAATACATTCGGCCTTGTGCCACATCTAAGTTGGGCACGTCGACGTGGTGCAATGGTTAGCAAGCATGTCTCGCTAGATCAGTTAAGATTGAACAGTGATTTCGATCCTCACTGGGTGCGCCATACATTCGGCCTTGCGCCACATCTACGTTGAGAAAATCATTGCCCATTTCGACTTGGTGTAATGTCTAGCAAGGTTGTATCGCGAGAACAATTCCAACTAAGGAGTGAGTTCGATTCTCACTGGGTAGCCCACACTTTCGGCATTGGGCCACATCTAACCTCCGCTTAGATACTCATTTTGGGCATTTCGACGTGGCGTAATGGTTAGCAAGCTTGTATTTCTGGATCAATTACGACTGAGTAGTGAGTTCAGTCTTCACAAAATCCCCTACATTTTCGGCCTTGTGCCATATCTAATCTCCGCCTAGATACTCATTTTGAGTATTTCGCCGTGGTGTAATGGTTAGCGCGCTTGTATTGCTTGATCAGTTATAATTGTGTTGTGAGTTCAATCATCACAGAGTCCCCCACATTTTCTGCCTTGTGCCACATCTAAGCTACGCTTAGAAAATCATTTTGGGCACTTTGACGTGGTATAATTTTTAGTAAGATTGTTTGTCTATATCAGTTGCAACTGAAAAGTGAATTAGATCCTCACTGGGTGCCGCATACATTTGACCTGGTGCCACATCTATTCTATGCTTAGAAAATCACCATACTCAAAGTTAAATTTCCAATTCGTTTTGTATTAATTTTTTTGTAGTCAAACTACATGTGGGTCATAAGTTTCTAAACATTTGATATTGTTCAACCGTTTTTATTTATATAATTTTCTCTGCATGATTACCATTGTTTCAACAAACACGTATAAATACGTGTTTGCTACTGTTGATAAGTACAGTTGAAATTATGCTTGAATGGTGTTGGTGATATATTCCTTGACATGATTTAAGTCTGGTATCTTTATCTGATACATTATGGCCTTCAAGTGCACCCAAAGATAGAAATCATGTGGGGAGAGACCTGGGGATCTTGAAGGCCACTCCAAAGGACCACATCGACCAATCCAAGCACGTCAATACCGACGAATATAATGACTATAATGAGATGGAGCTCCATCTTGCTGGAAGTAAACTGGGTAGTCACCTTCCTCATTTTAGTCCGTCCTGGGTATGACGATAAACTACATCCGCGTCTTGGTTAAGACGATAAACTACATCCAACAGCAAGTCGTCTGATCAGGAGGTTTTGAGAAGCGTGGAACCACCTCTTAGTTGATGGTGTTCCCAGGTCAATCCTAAACCGGGATGGTAGCACCTGTTAGGGTCCTAGCAATGGGTAAATAGTTAAACCCCAAATTCGGGTTAAAACTATAGAAATGTAAAAATGGATTTTAATATCAGAATGCCTTGTAAAAATTATTACCAGCAATACATTTTTGAAGAAAAATTATTACCAGCAATACATTATTAACAACAATACAATTTTGAAAAAAAATATTACGAGCAATACATTATTAATAGCAATACAATTTTGAAAAAAAATTATTACCAGCAATACATTAATAACGGCAATACAAGTTTGAAAAAAAAATATTACGAGCAATACATTATTAATAGCAATACAATAATGAAAAAAAATATTACGAGCAATACATTATTAATAGCAATACAATTTTGAAAAAAAATATTACCAGCAATACATTATTAATAGCAATACAATTTTGAAAAAAAATATTACCAGCAATACATTAATAACAGCAATACAATTTTGAAAAAAAATATTACCAGCAATACATTAATAACAGCAATACAATTTTGAAAAAAAATATTACGAGCAATACATTATTAACAGCAATACAATTTTGAAAAAAAATATTACCAGCAATACATTATTAATAGCAATACAATTTTGAAAAAAAATATTACCAGCAATACATTATTAATAGCAATACAATTTTGAAAAAAAAATATTACCAGCAATACATTATTAGTAGCAATACAATTTTGAAAAAAAATATTACCAGCAATACATTAATAACAACAACACAATTTTGAAAAAAAATATTACGAGCAATACATTATTAATAGCAATACAATTTTGAAAAAAATTATTACCAGCAATACATTAATAACAGCAATACAATTTTGAAAAAAAATATTACGAGCAATACATTATTAATAGCAATACAATTTTGAAAAAAATTATTACCAGCAATACATTAATAACAGCAATACAATTTTGAAAAAAAAATATTACGAGCAATACATTATTAATAGCAATACAATTTTGAAAAAAATTATTACCAGCAATACATTAATAACAGCAATACAATTTTGAAAAAAAATATTACGAGCAATACATTATTAATAGCAATACAATTTTGAAAAAAAATATTACCAGCAATAGATTATTAATAGCAATACAATTTTAAAAAAAATATTACCAGCAATATATTATTAATAGCAATACAATTTTGAAAAAAAAATATTACCAGCAATACATTTTTTGAAAAAAATACCAGCAATAAAAATTTTGTCGACATTAAATAACCCATTGAGGTGTTGATATGCAGTAAAACAAAACAAACCGAATCCTCGTTTAGCAGGGATGGGAGAATTTCCACTTGCAGCATGTTAAGATACCTTTCTGCATTAAGATTTTCACTGACAAAAATTGGTCCAGTAATTCTGTCTACCCATATCCCGGCCTACACCATCAATTTACCGGCACCTTACATCTTTGTCGGATTCAGTCAGTCAGGGTTCTCATTAATCCAAGAACGTAGGTTTTTTCGATTAACCTCTCCATTGATATAAAAAATATGCTTCATCAGTAACCAAAATCTTAGTTGAAACGTTTGCATCCTCATTCACTTTGATTAATGCTCATTCACAGAATTTCATCAGTATGGAAACTTATGGCCCACCCTGTATGTTTTCGTGTACAAATAGCTGACTTAAGCGTCACTTTCTGTATCTACGAGTCATCAACATTTACAAGATTTCGAATAACGTTCTCTCGAAATTTCTAGGACATTATTGATAAAAGAAATCCTGGTATTTTCCTTCTTTTATGTGATTTCCCTTTCAGGGTGGCGGCAATTATGGCTCTCCACAACTACCTATTCTTTGTATCTTTATTTCCAGCTCTTCCACTTCTCTTCAGTATGCCTTGTGAGTGAGAAATTATAATGAATATACAGGTTACTTGTCGAGCGAGTATTATCGAGCAAGTACTATTAGTGCTAGTCATATTCAAAGGCATCTGACACCAGTATTGTTCAACGGCGTATTATAGTTGTATCTGCGATTACAAAGTCTCTACTACAACGAGCATTACGAAAGTGACAACGAGTATTCGTTGACATCACAAAAGTAGGAACAAGTGTTCGTTGACCTATACAATCGAATACTTGATGGTTTTCCGAGGATTACAAAATGAAATACTTTCTTGGTTTTTGGCAAAGTAATATCCATTTTATATCATTAATTTGACACATAGTGTTGTTCAATCTTTGCCGAATTGTTTATTATTTTTTTCCATATGTAACTTATGAGCATTAACTGTTTATTCTTTATTATTCAGCTTTGACAATAAGGAATTACCAACGAACGTCCGGCATAATACTAGTTCAGAAGTTTCAAGGAAGGGTACACCAGCATCGGGGAAAAACCAAACTCAAAGAGACATTCTGTTGTAGTCAGATGCGTTCATGCTTGAAATGGTTGAACATCCAAGCCCAGCACTCACACGTTCGTGTTAAAACGTGGTCCTTCACAAAGAACCATCATTCGAAACCCCACATTAGTTTGGTCTTGTGAAGAGATGCTGTCGAGAACTTCTTCATGAACTGATCAATGACCAGGACCAACGATGTGTAAATATTTGCAAATGGCAAATCTCAAAACGCCCGTTTTTGGCATTGAATTGTAACTGGGAATGATAAATAGATCTATTTTCGTAATCCTTATAAGAGAAATTAGTGGCTTCGTTCTAGCCAGACTTCGTTCCGGCAAGGACTTCTGAACCTGTTGTCAAACTAGGGCTGCTTTGAACAAAATATCATGCGTATTTGTCGGAATTTCGAGAGGGTGTTCTACTTTAAGCTTGTCTCAGATGGTCATGCTCTGAACTCTGACCTATATGTTTAACAACTACAGCGGGTATATGACGAATTGAAAGTCCCTTTACCCGGCACTGGTCACTCGAAGACGCGTACTTTTATAGCAGGACAGTGCCCCAGCGCACAATGCCAATACAGCCAAGCGCAAACTTGAGAATCTGGACATGTTTACTAAACATCGTCAGAGTCCCGACCTTGCACCGTCAAATTTCTAACTTTTCTAAACCATGGGCCATTTTCTTCACGGACGAATTTTTAACAAAGTGGATGAGGTTGAAAACGATTTCGGGGAGTCTGTTTTAACCTCTAGCCCAATCAAGTAGTATATATGGGTTACTCACATACTTTCCTTAAGTACCGCCACTAGGTGACGCTTCTTAATCCAATAAATATGAAGTAACATTCACTGACATCCATTTTTTCCTATTTCACCCACGGTTTGTTTTGGTTTGGTTTGTTGTGTTTTACGGTGTATCAACCTTAATGGGTTATTTAATGCCGACAAGATTTTTATTGCTGGTAATATTTTTCTCTTCCCGTTCATTATTAATGTTTCTGTTCCTAATTTTTCAACAGTCATTAACCCCTCGTGTCTTAGTAGCTTTACTGCCTTAAAAGAATTAAAAAGAATCTATCTATATCTCTGAGATGAAGTACATTACTTATGGATTAGTATAGTTTGGATTAGTTTGTTTTATTTTACGGCATATCAACCTCAATGGGTTATTTAATGCCGACAAGATTTTTATTGCTGGTAATATTTTTTCAAAAAAATGTACTACTAGTAAAATATTTTTTCTTCAAACATTTATTGCTGGTAATAATTTTTAACAAAAAATTATCGCTGGTATTAAAACCTATTTTCACACTTTCATTTAGTGTTTTGACCCCAATTTGGGGATTAATTATTTACCCATAGCTGGGACCCTAACAGGTGCTGCCACATCGGATCAGAGTTGAACTGGGAACACTATCAATTAAGAGGTGTTTCCACGCTCCTCAAAACCTCCTGATCAGAAACCTTGCTATTGGATTACCGTCTTACCGTCTTACCCAGGAACCGGATGTAGTTTATCATCTTATCCAGGACGCTATTTCACCCAGGGACGGTAAGATGTACGTTGTACGTAGATAACAACGCTGCCGCCGAGGCTCGTTCGTTTCTCTTGGTCCTTTGTTGAGATTTGAACTTTCTTAAACACACATGCAGATACACTCATGTGTCTATCACACATGCTTGTTACACTAACTTCTGCATAAAAAAATTATTACAAATAATTAAAACAATAACATTTAAACGTTGTAAAAAATAAATTAAATAAAAATGTTAAATAATAAAAATACTCTCAGCAAGCAACAAAAACTGTTCCTGCCGGAAATAAGGACATACCGCCAGATGACGTTAAATTCAGTCTCTTCGCCACAAACCTTGTTACGGGTAACACGTGTGTAACTTCTCTCTGTGATATGGCTTGTAATACTACGCAGTAAATTCTCCCTTTTATCACATGTACCATAAAATAATTGTAACCTAAAAATACACACACCGATACACAAAAATATAAATAAATTACATGAACTTAACATAGCATGATTTTCTTGTTATTTCCTGTAAATTATGCTTTTATCTCCGTGGACACAAGGCTAATTTCTGTTGCTATGATGTGAGTGATGAGCCAACAACATTTTGTTAATACATACTTATCGTTTGTTTCTATATATAGTTTTGTTGTTTTATTCATTTATTACTACATAGATAGATAGATAGATAGATAGATAGATAGATAGATAGATAGATAATGGTGAGACTGAGATAGATAGATTGATAATGGAGAGACTGAGATAGATAGATAGATAGATAGATAATGGAGAGACTGAGATAGATAGATAGATAGATAGATAGATAGATAGATAGATAGATAGATAGATAGATTTACGCACCATTATCGTTTGTTTCTGTACATAGATTTGTTGTTTTATTCATTTATTACTACATAGATAGATAGATAGATAGATAGATAGATAGATAGATAGATAGATAATGGAGAGACTGAGATAGATAGATAGATAGATAGATAGATAGATAGATAGATAATGGAGAGACTGAGATAGATAGATAGATAGATAGATAGATAGATAGATAGATAGATAGATAGATTTACGCACCATTTTTGTTATGGGATAAATAAACTGGCAGACACTTGTTTTCTGACATAAACATTCGGCCAGCACAACATATAAACGTGGAATTCAGCTTCATGATGTTACAAACACACAATAGAATATGATGGGGTATATTTTGATGTACAAACGCTTTTCTTATGTAACATTGTACGAACTATTGGTTAAATTTTGAAATACGAAGACAATTTTGAGTCAACTTAAAACATAACCTAGAATATAAAATTAAAAACAATAACGCTTTGCAAAAATTTCCTGGGACATTTTTTTAGCAATCTATTAGTACTGTTCTTCAAATTGATCGGAATTGATTTTATTTTTCTTAATAACGAAAATCCATATTAATTTTTCATTAAAATTGCAAACAATCTGAATGAAGGAAAAATAATTGAAGCATTTTATTTATTTTAGAGAAAAAAATAAACAAAAACATTTTCAGTCCCTATAAATATTCGATTTTTTAAAAAAATTAATGTTTTAAAAAAAATACATGTTTCGAACCCACAACTGATTTTTTAATTGTTTAATGAAACCCGAACATTTCATTTTTTCTTTTGTGTCCTGTATTTGACAGCATCTTCAATTTATTAAATTATTTTCATAAAAGGTTACTTTATTTCATTCGTTCTTGTTAATTCATTTCTCTTTACTTTTTGTAGTAATTTTTAAGTGAATAAATAACTTTATTTGTTTTTTTATATTTTCATGTTTTTTTTATATTTTATTTTAAAATATTGAGTTTTTTTTTACAATGCACCCCCACCTAAATATTTTGTCTTGGCGCAAAAAGCATTTTAATTAAGTGTTTGAGATTGATTTAAAAGTTTGAACAAAGAATGGGAAACAAACATGGCTACTGTTTGTTTTCTATTTTTTGTCCTTTTTTTATTCTATGAAAAATATGTTAACCATCCAGATGTCACCCGCTTGAATTAATTCATCAAGAATATAAATAAAATCGACGGAACCATAGATAGATAGATAGATAGATAGATAGATAGATAGATAGATAGATAATCAAGAGAATGAGATAGATAGATAGATAGATAGATAGATAGATAGATAGATAGATAGATAGATAGATAGATAGATAGATAGATAGATAATCAATCAAGAGAATGAGATAGATAGATAGATAGATAGATAGATAGATAGATAGATAGATAGATAATCAAGAGAATGGGATAGATAGATAGATAGATAGATAGATAGATAGATAGATAGATAGATAGATAGATAGATAGATAATCAAGAGAATGATAGATAGATAGATAGATAGATAGATAGATAGATAGATAATCAAGAGAATGAGATAGATAGATAATCATAGATAGATGGATAGATAGATAGATAGATAGATAGATAGATAGATAGATAATCAAGAGAATGGGATAGATAGATAGATAGATAGATAGATAGATAGATAGATAGATAGATAGATAATCAAGAGAATGGGATAGATAGATAGATAGATAGATAGATAGATAGATAGATAGATAGATAATAGATAATCAAGAGAATGGGATAGATAGATAGATAGATAGATAGATAGATAGATAGATAGATAGATAGATAGATAATCAAGAGAATGAGATAGATAGATAGATAGATAGATAGATAGATAGATAGATAGATAGATAGATAGATAGATAGATAGATAATCAAGAGAATGGGATAGATAGATAGATAGATAGATAGATAGATAGATAGATAGATAGATAGATAGATAATCAATCAAGAGAATGAAATAGATAGATAGATAGATAGATAGATAGATAGATAGATAGATAGATAGATAGATAGATAGATAGATAATCAATCAAGAGAATGAAATAGATAGATAGATAGATAGATAGATAGATAGATAGATAGATAGATAATCAAGAGAATGGGATAGATAGATAGATAGATAATCAATCAAGAGAATGAAATAGATAGATAGATAGATAGATAGATAGATAGATAGATAGATAGATAGATAATCAATCAAGAGAATGAGATAGATAGATAGATAGATAGATAGATAGATAGATAGATAGGGAGAGAGGGGCAGACACAAAGGCGAGGAAAAATAAAAATGAGGCAAACTGCAGATACAAAGAGAGATAAAAGACCAATATATAGAAAGAGACAGCGACAGAGAGAAGAAAGTGACAGTGAGACGACGACAAGAATGAATTAGGAATGGATAGAGAGATTCAAAGAGAATGAGGAATGAAGAAACAGAAATAGAAATATCCAAACAGAGGGGAAGAGAGAGAGAGAGAGGAGGGGAGACGAGAGTGAAAAGCACAAAGAGAACAAGAGTCATTCAGAGAGAGAGAGAGAGAAAGAGAGTTCGAAAAGAGTGACATACACACACATATAAAGCGAGAGTAATCTGGCCACCTCGACGTGGTGTCATGGTTAGAAAGCTTGTCTTGCTAGACCAATTACGACTGAGCAGTGAGTTCAGTCTTCACAGAGTCCCCCATATTTTCGGCCTTGTGCCATATCTAAGCCGGGCTTAGAGAATCCCTAAAGAGAGAGCAATACATGGCACAGTGGATAAAGGCGTTGGTTAGATCCAATGACAGGACCCAAAGAGTGTGTGTTCAATACCTGTTTAAGGCAGTAGAGTACTTTCAGAGGGAAATTAGCAGGAGATAACTGACAACTGACATCCATTAAGCATGGCACGTGGAGCTAGAACAGTCTACCCCAGTGAGCGAAATAAAGGATTCAGTTCAAAATTCCAACCACCCAAAGAAGGCCGGAGCGTACAACGGCCGAAACGTTGTGATAAATATGGCGACAAAAATGAGGACAATAGTCCGAATAATGTAATGTAATAGAAAGTACTCCAAGTCAAAGACAGAGAAAACAGATTCAGGGAGAGAGAATGATTCATTTTTTTACGGTTTATCAACCTTTTGTATGTCATTTAAAGCCAGAAAATATTTTTACATTGTAAGATTTTGTTTTGGTGGGGGGATAAAAAAAACATTTAGTGATACAGATCTTACTAGTTAACTGATAATTGGATGGAGATTCGGTGGATTTATACCTTTCCCTAATGTGCGCTTGTGCGCTGTTGAATATAACAAACCCAACTGGATCTGGCACTCGGCTCCCCAATCAGCAACTCCGAGCCATTATCCATTACACCATCTGCACATCCAATTTTACAGCATCTTGAATTCGCAAGCAGTCACCCATCTACATACTGACAAAGTTCGATATTGCTTAATTTTGGTGATCGTACTGGAATCCGTCGGTGGTTATGCTAACATGAAGTCACAAGTCATCGTGACCGAGGGGTTGAGTGTGCTAGCCTTGTTCAGACTGTTGGTCACGCTAAATAACGAGCTCTCTTCCAGAAACTGTAATTATGTCCGCTCAGCCTAGTTGCAAATAATCCACAGGTATGCTCTCTGGGTGTTGAAGAAACACAAATATGGCTGAGCAGGCGTCCGCAAGGGGGATTAGGTAGCCACCCTGGTACAATGCCATCCTGGGATTCGAATGGCTGCCCCATTTGCTTATTTACGGGAAGCGATGTTTCAACGTGATGTGGTCGTAAGCCCCAAGAAACAAATAAATTAAAAAAAAATGAAACACACCACTTGAAGAAGACTTCCAGCAGCTGCAACAAACAAAAATGGATATCTCCTGTAACTAGAAGTGAAAATAATAATATAATAAAAGTGTTGACTTTACACAGCGCCTTTCTTTAAACAAAGGTTAGAAAAGAGGCTACCGTCATTACTACAAAGGGTGATAACAGCGAACTTGAGAAGCCGATTGTCACGAAAAACGTATTTTAAGAGAAATATTTATAGATTTAAAACGAAAGTAACGCTATAACTATTCGGTCAATGGGAGCCTAAAGTTTGTTGCGTGGAAACGGTTAATCTCATCATAACTATTTTTATTGTCTGTCGATGAAAATGCGTTTCAGCATTTTTTACCTTGTACAGCCTCTCGAAATAAAAACAGTACCATGCTTATATTCTGAAAAAAAATTCCACCATTTAGCATTTGTTTTTTTACTTATGCATTTCAAATTTAAATTCGGTTAGAAATTCCTGATTCTATAATCGATTAAAATATCTGCGTTTGGGCATGCAACAGATTATCACCGATCGATATTGAACTCCTCCGGGTATTGACTCCCCATTGAGTAAGGTTGTAACACAAGGTCGGTTAGTTTTAACTTGAAGACCCGAGTGTGTAAGCTCGTCATAGCCGGTCATAGCCGTTCATATCATCGCCACGGAAAAGATGTTACGGAAAAAGCCCGAAGATTCTTTCCAGCCAACTGGGGAAGAGGACGGCCACCGGCCCGGAACAGATGCTACAACAAAAGCATCTCCCCTGACGGGAAAACCTATCCTGTCAAATGATTTCCAAAGCGTAGGTTAGATGTGGCACAATGCCAAAAATGTGAAGCACCCACTGAACTCATCTGTACATAGTTTAAGAAACATGAAAAAAAAAATCCTCTTAGGAAGATTTTAGTAGTATGCCGTAGTTTGAAAATAGCGTAATAAGAAATATCCTTGTAAATCAACTTACTATGACTCAATACCAATTACAACTGTCAAAACACGAGTGTTTTGACATTTTCTCCAAGATTGGTTGGTTTGAAATATTACATATTATCGGACGCATTGCATGAGTAACTGCGTCTAATTTATTATTATTGTGTGTCTGTACGAAATAAAATGCATACACCTGTATGTATGTATGTATGTCTATGTATGTGAGAATGTCATCCCAAA